GCTGCAAAACTTGGGTTATAAATAAACTTGTCAATAGAGAAGTAAATGTAGGAGTAGAGCGTGGGAATGGGGCTAGAGCTGCATGAAACTTGGTGGTCTCGGTATGTTTGAAGCCATAAAGGGTAGGTGTACACTGCAGTTTGGAGCCTGACAGCCTGAAGAGAGACTTGTGTTAGCTCGGCTTGAGCTAGGGCCCTAGAAATAGCAGTGTGGACGTTGTGGCTCTGGTGGAGACTCAGGCTAGCCACCCAAGCTCAGACACAGGGTGTCGGGTAGGTTTGAGAGCCCAGGCTGCTGCCCAAGCCTCCGCATCCACACTGCTATTTTTAGTGCACTAGCTCAAGCCCCACTAGTATGAGTCTGTCCACCTGAGCTGCGAGGCTGACGCCCAGCTGCAGTGTAGACATTCCCTTAGGGGCCTGCTTTCTGTGGGGCTCATATCTTGCTTCCATTTCAGGTTTGAATGGATGAGAAACTTTGACAAAACTGCTGAATTCACCAGAGTTTCACCAGCACCCGCCTGCGGCCCAGATAACCTGCATCAGGGCTCTCCTTCAGCTAGGTTCCACCCCAGATATGAGTGTGTTAAGTCATCTTTGCAGCACTGTACAGATCCCTGCCCTGGATCTGCTGAGGAGAATCTCCCCTGGACTGAGGGGTGCTGTGGACAGGGCAGCTCAGGGGGTGGGTGGCACACACATTCTTCTGTGGCCCTCTCTGCACTGGAGAACCCCATATAGGGGTAGGAGATGAGAATTGGTTCCCAGAGCCAGCATCCTGGGGGAAGTCTTGGGCCTGTAGCTCCAATGGGACACTGCTATTAGGAACCTGGGGAGAGCCAGAGTTGGCATGACAGCACAGGGTCTCAACACAGATTTCCATGGCTGCCTCCTGTGGGTCCCCCTGAGATCTTCAGGGTTTGGGGCTTGTTCTTCCACCCCCCCCCCCAATGACATCGGTAAATCTCTTCTTGACGATTTGAGTAGCGATTTCTGCCACTCCCTGCCCTCAAGAGTCCTTCCTTGAGTGGGTGCAGGCCAAGGCAAGAAATCCAGCCCTGTATATTCTTAATGGAGCAGATGGAGGTAGCTGCATTGTGTTGGGGCAGCTAAAATTTGCCTCTGGCTCCTGAGCGTAGGTGCTTTTTGTTTTGCCGGTAAGTGCCCCACACCGGCTCCTCCCCCTCCCCTGAGACTACCTTCCCTAAGCACCTCCCCTTCACTCCTTTCTGCCTCCTCCTGCCTTAAGGGTGGGGAGGAGGAAGAGGAGCCAGTGGCAGGGCAGCCCCACTCAACAGCTGATCAGTGGGGCAGCCACTGAAGAGCTGCTGGAAGCTTAGGGCCAGCCGCTGAACAGCTGATGGTAGCCCCAGGGCCACCAGATCAGCAGCCACGGCCAACCCCGTAGGTGTTGAGCACCCCCTATTTTTCCCTCTGTGGGTGCTTGAGCCCCTGAGCACCCACAGACTCGGCACCTATGCTCTTGAGCTTTTTTGCTGTTGCTTTTGGTTTTGTCTTGAGGGGGTGTAAGGAATTGCAGGTTTCCCTCTGGCAATAGGGGCAAGGGGGAGGAGTCTGCTCCTTTGTTTTAACGAGGAAAAGCTAAGTGGGGTTGAGTGTTTTATTGTTTGTAAATGGGGAGGGCTGGCTTGTGCTTTATAGTCCAGGAAACCTGCATGAAAGGTTTGCTTGTTTGTCTTTGCCTTTGAACTGCACTGCCTTTTTTTTCTTTCCCCAGCATGTAAACATTTACAGTGTGGGAGCACCTGTCACTGTAAATCGGGAACATGCAGCTCACTCAGACAAAGAAGCTGCTCGTTTGGCAGATCTTTCAGTGTTTGGGTTTGAGATTTCTTAAAGGGATGCTGTCAACCTACCTTTAAATGCATGTATCTACTCACGGATATGTGTAACTGACGCCTTGAGAGCTTTGCTGACCAACACTCTTCATTTTCCACACAAGCACACTATTTTCTTGTTGGTCTGCTGGCGAGCATGCCAGATTGTGAATGCGGATATGTTCTAGGATTGCGGATGTCTAGCTCTGGAGCTGGTTGGTTGTGGTAGGCTTACTCATAAATGTGGCCTGCAGACACTGGTCTGTTTTTTGTAGGGTTGCTGATGCATATCAGACTTTGGCCTTGTAGAGCTGCTTGCAATTACTGGTTTGTTTGTGTAGGGCTTGCTTGAGGAGCGCTAGGCTGGTAGCATGGATTTCATTTTCCAGTCCCTGGGGCTTTTTTTGGGGGTGGGCGGGAAAGACAAAATCCATGTATAGTGAGATATAAGGGGGAGAGTGCATGAGAGAGCTTTTTAAAACTAGCTAAATGAGTGATACCCATAGAACACAAACAGACCCCAAGAGGTACTGCAGTTAATGGGGAGAAAACCTGAGTGTCTTAAATTGCTTCCCACTTCCCCTTGACATGTTCTTTTCCCCTCTCTAACGTGAGCGCTGCTCAGGTAGCACAGCATAAAACATCCTCTTCTGGAAGGCTTTGGGATAGGGAAATGTGTGTGAAAACAGTAGAGCTGTCGTTCCTGTCCCTACACACAGTCCCTCGCTCAGATAAGGCTGAAGATTATTGCAGTGCGGGGAGGGCATAGTGAAAACCCTGATTTGGTGGGGTGAGAAGGCCTGAACCCATCTGGTGATTGGCTGAGTTACAGAAGCACCGTTTGCTTTCCAGTGACCTTGGCTTGCTTTGCTCTCCTGATTGAGCTAAGCAGATTGCACTGCCCTTTGCAAAGGGCTGAAAAGTCAGTGACTTGGAGAGAGACTCTACAATGAGACCTCTCTTGGGGCTAGTGTAGTTGGAGCCTTCTAACGGTATGTCTGCACAGCAAAACCTGGACGTGGGCTAGCCTACCTGAGTTAGCTTGAATGCAGCTAGTGTGCGTAACAATACTACTGAAGACAGTGCAGTGTGAGTGGTACAAACTCGGCATGGACCCTGGCTATGTACTCTGCTTGCTAGCCTGCTCTGAAGCCCACACTATGCCGTCTTCACTGCTATTGTGACCCCTGCTAGCTGGATTCAAACTAGCTTGGATAGGCCTGCCAGTGGCCAGCTTTTGCTATGTAGACATACCCTGACATGCAGGGCTTCATTCTTCTCTCACATCAGTCTATGCCCAGCAACTTAAATGGAGTTACTCAAGACTAAGGTTGAGAAGTTTTATTGAGAGCATCCATTCTAGCAAAGAGAGCTACATGGCATTGACTAAACATGCCCAGTATCTTCTGCCCCAGCATGCGAGACTCCCCTTAGTTGGGTCTCCCTTTCATTGAGTTCTGCTAAATTAAGGCAAAGGATATCGTTTTAGGGCCAACAAAGAGCGAGCATTTTATGTAGACATAGCTAATTCTTAACAGAGCCCTTCTCTGAACAGGAGAAAAAGCTGCCATCCCCTCTGTGCTTAGTCTCAGTACTAGTTCCTTTTGTCTTGCTGCTTTTCCTTTTGTCTTGCTGCTTTTCCTTTTGGGGTGGAGAAATGGCTTGGACTGGAAAAGACCTGCCAGTTTAGGAGGGGACTGGTGCCCTAGCCTGTGCTGTGATTTGTGTATAACTAGGATAGATTCTGCAGGTTCTGGGTGGTGGTGGTGGGATCTCTGCTTTGGTTGTTGCAGAGTGTGCTCAGGAATACAGGGAATACTTTCATCCTTGTAAAAGCATTTCCCACCCTCTTTGTGGGATAAAGAAATTGGGCCCAAATGCCTGGTACAATCGAAGGCCATATACCAGAAATAAATGGCTTGGTAAGCTTTTTTGTCCCAGGAGGCATCTACATCTGTCAGGCTTAGTGGGAGTCTCACGTACCTGCGGAGAGGTGAGTGTATAGAGGAAGCCTTTGCTGGTCTGTTCATCTGAGCGCCAAAAGCTAGACGTATTACAACCTGCAACTCCATTTCATCCTGAAATTACTGCCGTTGAACTGTGAACCACATTTTTTGAGCAACATCTCCCAGATCTATTTTGGGAGATGAGGAGAAATTATAGGTTCTTTGCCGACCCCTCCTCCATCACCGGAACCTACAGAGCGTCTATTTTCTGGGATCCCTGGCCATGGCAGGAAAACATTCCCTCCCTACAGGACCTAGCTTTGAAGACCTCTGGTCTCTGATAAGAAATGGAGATCAATTCCCTCTGAGGTCATCTCAGCCTAAATATTTGAAGATCTTCTTGCAAAAGCATGAGGTCATTTCCTGGTTTGAGCCACGGGTTGGTTGATCCACTCGCATTGCCACCACACCGAAGCCCTTCCACAACACAAGCCCTGCTATAATATCCCCACAGAGGATATCAGCCTTCCATCCAAAAAGTTGATCTTCCCATATTGCCCTTTGCTCTAGTCCCCGTGATAAATGGCTTCCTTGGGTTCAAATATTTAGTAACTTAAACTCAAGCCTCAGTCCTTAGAGATACTTTTTCTAACTCAGAGAAACACTTTCCTGGGGCCAGAGTGATCATTTAGGAAGGCTGAGATCTCATTTCCAAGGTGCTGTCAGGGTTGCTTTCTCTGATTTTTAAATGGAAGTGTCAAAGCTCCATCTCTCCAAGGGGCCAATCTCAATACTTGTACACATTATTCTTGTTTAACTAGGGCTCTGTTATGTCACCCTCACTTTTACACAGCAGTTTCTTGGACTAATATGGGGATCACCCCTTGTGAGGACTCTTCCCACAGGGTGACTGCTGGGAAGCAAGTGGTAGGGTGTTGGGGTACATTAGCAATCAGAGTAGAGGTGGGGGAACTCCTTAGTTGTGGGAATATGCTGTACTATATCTGTCTATTCATGAAATACTCTCTGGGGATTAGGGTGAATCAGTGCTGTCATCAGGAGGCTCTGCAGGAGATAAATCGCTTTTCTCTAGAGTAGGACCTTTCAGGAGAGCAGGAAATCATTGTCCATGATACAATCTCTGATCCCATTTTTGAAATCTCAGCATGAACAGGATATCCCAGCTGCGTCTTAGCACTCCTTCCAGAGGAGCCTTTTCTTCTGAGTCAATTTTCCTGCTGAGAAAAACATTTAAAAAATCCATTCAGACAATGAATTTAAACCACCTGATCTGGCAGGTTAATTCTGTTGGGGTGACCTCACTGGAGTCCAATATGGTTAAATAGCAGTAGTGGTTTGAACCCAGAGCTCTGAGTTTTTCCTGCTGATAGTCATGTGGTTAGATCACATGCATGTGAGCTGTATTTATTGAGAACAGGCTGTGGATAGCACAAGCAATTGGAGACTTTCAGCTTCTGGAAGAGGTCACCCACAAGAGCAGCTCACTGGTGGATCAGCGTTTGCATAAGCCACAGTCTAGTTTCCCCACTTTGTAGGTGTTGGGAAGTAGAGACGTATCTCAGTGGTCAGCTTCTCCATTGTAAGCAGTGGAGCTCAGGAGGATAGACTCCTTTTTTATGACACACGCTTCTATGACAGAAGCAGCACGTAGGGACTGGGTGGGATGGGGGGGGGAGAGCCTTTCCACCTCTGTTCCTGGACTGTAGTCAAACAAGCGACCAAAGGTTGTTATGATTGAGTGGCTGACTGGAAGTTCATGTAAAGTATGTTGGTGATCTCTGTCTAGGTTTGCCATCTATTCTGATACACATGGGAATTGATTTGTTAGCTGTGCTAAGAGCCTGCATCTCCAACTGACTTCACCTGACTTGTTGGCACTCAGCAACCCCAAAAATCAGCCCTAATGTCTCTTTCAGGAGGCTCCCAGCGTCATTAAACTTATTTAAGATGTTACATGGTGGCATAGTGCAATAACCTAACAGTGCAAATCTTGTGTTGCAGGTTAGGTTTTTCTACTGCCTGACCAGTAAAAGTCAGCGACAGCCTTATCTCCCTTTTGTAGCAGGCAGGGAGTGGTCTTGTATCACACATTCCACTCCCATCATTGACCCTATTTAGCAGAGTCTGCAGAAAAGCCAAGAAATGAACAGGCCATAAAGACAGAGCTGCTCTCTTACCCCTCCAGGCGGTGGGCCAGCTTTGTTCACATCTACATTGGTGCCAACCTGCCATAATGTTGCTGCCAGTTCTGGGGGGCAGAGGGGAAGCTTGCCCTGCTGCTATCTGAGCTGTACTTGTCCTGTACATGAACACACAGCTTCAGTAGCACTCTAGCAAACTCTACATGGACTTGTGAAGAATGCGGCAAAAGAAGCTGTTTTAGGTGATGACTTGGATACAGACATATGAAGCCTGGCAGACCATTTCCTGCTGTACAAAAGCCGAGGGAAAGGTGAGATGATCCCATGTTGCAAAGCCAGGAGATGATGCAGAAAAGTTGTTTGCAGCACTAAAAGGAAAGGAGGGGAGCTTCAAATAGAATATAACAGAAGAAGCAGGAGAGGAAAATTACTAGAGGGTTATTCTTACCATAGGATGTTTCCACATCTAACAGTGGGCAGGGTGCTGCATTAGTTGCATGAAGCAGCTCATCTTCTGAAGTCCTAATGGAACATTATGGAAATGAACATGCCTGGATCAGCTGGCTGATCAACAATTTGTGTGTGGCAGAAGTGGGGGGACTGGAAATAAACTCTCTTGATATCTGACTGGTGCCGTGTTTGAATCTCTTAACTTGCTAAACTCTTTCTGCCAAATGCTATCAAAAGCCTGTCTGACATCTATAAGGTTGTTGTAACAGGTTTGGTTGTGATCTATGTACTTTCTGATGTCTTATCACAAATAACTGATCTATTGAACTTCGTTCTGGTCTAAATCTGGCCTGTTTCTCTACAAGCACTGCTTCTGCAGATGTCTTAATTCTTCTCTGCAACGTCTTAATGAATGCTTTCCCCAGCAGATTCAATAAGCAGATTCCTCTGTAATTCTTGCACTCATTCTTATCCCCTTTTTTATGGATCAGTACTATTATTGCTTTCCTGCACTCATTTAACACTTGTTTGTAAATCTTGTTGACTAGCTTATGGATCCCCTTTACCACATCTTCCTTGCAGCAGCTTTGTGGTTAGGGTGCCACTTTCCAGTACCTTTTTCTTTTTCAAACTTTCTGGAGAGATCTTTTCTTCTAAGAATTCTGGCATCTGCCCTCCCTTGTTTGTACTGGGAAGTTTCTCCAGGATCACTTCATCTACTGTGTTCTTCACATTGTACAGCTCTTCAAAATATTCTTTCCATCACTTATTCTTTGTTCAAGCTGATGGATGACCTCTACAGCAAGTCAATAAGTGCAGTGAGAGTAGATAAGAAGCTGACGGAATGGTTCCAGATGACCATATGAAAGCGATGATGTATGCTATCGCCAGATTTGTTCAGCTCGGTAATGGCTGAAATGGCTGTAGCACTGGGAGATAAAGAGGAGTCATGTTATGTGATAGGACAGTGCGTAACCTTAGATTCACAGATGATAGTGACCTCACAGCATTGACCAAGCAGGATTTATGGAGACTAACTGGCAAGATAGACTGGGAAAGCAGGAAATTCTGATTGAAGATCAGTATAGAGAAGACAAAATTTGGCAATTTGAAGACCAGAGAAAGGAAAAAATCAAACAGACACAGAGCTAGAGTAATTGGGAAAATGTTGTGTACCTTGGAGACTAGTATCAAAGAATGGGAATTGTGAAGGTGGCATAAAAAGAAAAATTGGACACTGCTCTGCATGATCTGGAAGGCTAAAGACATCTTGATCATGCTGATACTGCTGTATGGATGGGAATGCTAGAGTCTGAGGAAAGCCATGGAACAAAATACCTCAGATATAAACTGACTGAGGGAAATCCTGAGAGTTTCAAGACTGCAGAGAATAAAAACTGAAGTGATAAGAAAATAGTTGCAGAAGATTTGAGAAAGATGACTGCAATGGTTTGGACATGTATCAAGAATGAACCTGGAAAGGATACCAGACATGACGATAATACCGGAGTGCAAGGAACTAGAAAGAGGAAGACTAAGGATGCATTGGATAGACATGGCAAAAAAGGACATAGAACAAAAAGGTTTAAAGGTTAACGATGCCACGAAGCTGGAACAAGATAGAAAGTGGTGGACTTCATTCGGCCCTGTATCACTGAGTTGGCTGACAGGAATCAGAGTTTGAATCTGTCTTGCAAGATGTATGCTACTTTGGGGGCAGCAGCTGGAAATATCTGATCCACTTTTGGGCATGCTATCAAGGTGCTGTGGCCACTGATGAATCAGGAGACAGGTACTGAGTGTATATTGCATGTTACCTTCCTGCTGCTTCCTCAGGATAAGGGATCCCTGAGATGATCAGCTGGCCTGTATTTGGGAAAACGCAGGTTGTTGGTCAGTCACAGATCTAAAAAACCTTTATCCAGACATGTTTTACTTCTTAAACTTTATTCCTACCACAAATCTTCATGAACCACAAAAGCTCTCTGCAGCTATGACATCTTGTCATGAATTGAAGGCAGGCTATTCCTTAAAACTGACAGACCTAGTAGTAAAACAAAGCTGTTGGTATGGGATATACATGCACCACACACGTAAGGGCCATGCATATGCTCTAGGCAATGTGGACTAAGGGCACTCATCACTTTGTAAGATAGATTCCCCACAGTTGCATTGTATAAGGAGGGGACAAGTAATCTGTGTAGCTTGGACTCAGGTGTACATTTCCCAGATATTCCAGGGCTTGCTTTTCCCCTTCTCTGATCTTAGTAATGGGTTGTGTGCAGCACGGTATCTGTCAAAGGCAGCCACTGCTCATGCAAGCAGTGGCAGACTTTTCACAGGCAACACAATTTATTTTCAGATCCTCCTAGTCAGCACCAGTGTCATTCTGAACACTCTCACCATAGACTAAGGGCATAGTTCACCCTAGTGTAGCCACATAACCACTCTCACTGGCCCCAAAACCCAAGGATACAAGTCCAGGGTCTGTAACCAGCTCCTCAGTGTTGGTCTGTAATCTCCTGCCCCTGAAAGTATCAGGGCAGCCAGAAAATATATCTTATCTGGATACTACTTAAAAATGCACACCGAAAACAACCAACAATCCATCAGGCAAGACTTACTTCAGCCATCCAGTCTTCATGAAGACACATTAGGTTAAAAGTTCAACATTTTCACCAAGTTGCTGGCTCAAAGTGCAAACCTACTTACGTAATGTTGAGGTTTCAGAGCATTGAACCCAGATTAGCCCTTGTCAAAATGCGTAATGAAAATAAAAATGCTGGAATAAAATACTGTTTGATCTCTTTTTAATTTCACTTTTTAAAGTGAATGTAATACTGGTGCCAAATTGACAGCCCTGTAGTCTGAAGTCCTCCATTTTATCTTGAAACAGGTATAATGTGGGTGGTATCTCACCCTGTCAATGTGTCTCAACTTTGATTTAGAGGAACCATCACTAGGACCAAGAGAGAAATTCAGAGTCTCAAGACGTGTTCAGGTTTCAGAGGGGTAGCCGTGTTAGTCTGTATCAGTAAAAACAACGAGGAGTCCTTGTGGCACCTTAGAGACTAACCAATTTATTTGGGCATAAACTTTCCTGGGATATAATCCACTTCATAAGATGCATGGAGTGGAAAATGCAGTATGCAGATAAATATACAGCACATGAAGAGATGGGAGTTGCCTTACCAAGTGCGGGGGGCAGTGCTAATGAGGCCAATTCAATCAAAGTGGATTGAATTGGCCCATTCCCAGCAGCTGACAAGAAGGGGTGAATATCAACAGAGGGAAAATTATTTTTTTTTGTAGTGACCCAGCCACTCCCAGTCTTTATTCAGGCCTAATTGGATGGTGTCAAGTTTGCAAATTCATTCCAGTTCTGCAATTTTTCGTTGAAGTCTGTTTTTGAAGTTTTTTTTGTTGAAGAATGGCAACTTTTAAGTCTGTTGAGTGTCCAAGGAGATTGAAGTGCCCTCCTACTGGTTTTTGAATGTTACAATTCTTGATGTCTGATTTGTGTCCATTTATGTTTAATTCTTGATACATTTGGTTTAAACTGCCTATGACTGCCAAGTAGTATCATTCATGCTAATGGATTTTTTTAGAGTAGATACCTGTGTGCTAAGAACTGAACTGAACCCACCAACTTTTTAAACTTAGGGTATGTCTACATTGCAATTTAAATACCTGCAGCTGGCCCGTGTCAGCTGACTTGGTCTCTGACTGCGAGGCTGTTTAATTGTGGTGGAGATGTTAGGGCTTAGGCTGGAGCCCAGGCTCTGGGATCCTCTCCCGTCACAGGTTCTGAGAGCCCCGGCTCCAGCCCGAGCCTGAATGTACACATCACAGCTAAACAGATCCACTGCCCAAGCCCCATGAGCCCGAGTCAGCTGATGCTGGCCAGCCATGGGTGTTTAACTGCAATGTAGACATGCTCTTAGTTCTGCAAATGGTCATCAGAAGCATACTCAGCCCTCAGTGATTCCAGAATGGGAAAGCAGTGGGATCTCAAATTGGACCCATCTTTTCCATATGGCATTGTAGAACGCTAGCTATTAGTATACTGCACCAACCATACAAGGAGATAGCAATTTAGGCCTTGTTTACATTGGGGTCTTGCCCTGGCTACAACTGTCAGGGTAGAAAGGCAAAACTGCTATTTGCACCAGTGGAGCATGCTTGTGCTTGAAATCAAGGTAGGCACCACTGGGGCAAATAGACTTGCCTGACTACACTGGAGAATGAACTGGTGCAGCTACATGTGTGGCTGGCTATCAATGGCTGTAATTGGGGCAAATCGCCTGTGTAGACCTGTCTTTACTGAGCTGTTAAAGAAGTACTGATTCTGGATCTAGAACTGGAATGGGAATACAGCACTGTCAAGCAAGGATAACATTGTATAAAGGGATGAAACATTCTTCTGATGATTGTCTGGAAAAGAAAGCAACAATTCACATGGAAGGGGTTGGCGTTTGGGAAGATATAACTGGAGCGCTACCGTTAGTTTGTTTGTTTTGGAGCACATGGGCAATTCTTACAAAATGTTCCTTCTCCCAGCATAAAGCCCTAATTCCCTCAGTGGCTTATGTTGTCTGGAAGATTCAAGCACCCAGGATAGCAAATGAATACAATCTTGATTCCCAAATCCCTTTGCAAAATAGTTGCATCACATCTGGAAATATTTGGACAGTGATCGCATGGAAAGAGCGAGATGAATCAGACAAGACAGGGAGACTCTTGGGAACAGGGCTCTGCTCGTTCATTCTTTAAAAGGCCATGTTTGTTGGTGCTGGTGAAAGATCAGGATTGGCCAGCCTTGAGACTGACTTCCTTTCTGCACAATGGAAGTACAACAAGGACAGCAGCATGACAAGCTTCCACTGCACTGCACCCTGCCAGTTTTGCAGACCCATTCGATCCTTGGCTTTTCTCCTGAGATGGTTGGTTAAGGTTGTTTTGACAGACCATACTAACGTGGGCCAGAACCAAACCCGTGAGATCAATCACTATATGGTGTAATTGCAATTGCATGTACGTTTGTAAGTGATACCACTGTAGACCTCCTATAGCTGACTTCACTGGAAGTGGTAGGGTCCAGTGTGTTTGGGGCTGAAGGAGCAGGGCTCTAGTCCTGGCTGTGTGTGTGTGTGTGTGTGTGTGTGTGTGTGTGTGTGTGTGATTTATTCAGCAATGTTGTCTTGTCTTTAGCGCACAAATTCATTATAGCAAGTGAAAGGCTTCATAACCCACTCTAGCCCCCTAGGGCCAGTTGTTTCCTTCACTCTCTTTGGTAAAATTGCTTGACTGGGCATTATAGTGCCATATGAAGGAGGTATAGGAAACTAGTGGAGCTGAGCAAAGCTAGACTACTTTGATTTATGGCTTGCAGGAGAGGCGGCTTAGACTAGCCCGATTGAATAGCAAAGAGACACATTGAATTGCAAGCACAACATCCTTCTGGATGTCGCTGCAAGATTGATTGAAGTGTGGAGACTATCATGGCCATAATGTTACAATGTATTCTTTGGACAGTCCTAAAAATAACATTCTGGGTAGGGGATCATTTGTGACTGTGCAAATGTCTGGGGATCGAGGAGCGGGTCTGACTATGTGGTGGAGTGACTGGCCTTGCTTCTGACTGGCCCTTGGACAGCACTTGTGAAATCAGTGGGATTTTTTTCTGGGTGGTTTTTTTTTTTTTGGGGGTAGGCTGGTTCCCAGAGGCCTCCCCTAATCAGAGACTTGCAAGAGAACAATGTGCCATGTTACCCATCTAGTGAAGTTACTGCTGCCACATATGTGGTTGTGAAAACCATTCCATGTATCCCATTATTTCACAAGGCGTAAAGCTCTCTATTTCCAGCCATTATATAAACTAACTTCACACGGGACTGGTGGACATGGCTAAACTCTGCCCCAAACAAACTTGTCATTGTAAGAGTGTGAAACCCAATGTCCTGGCCGAATTCCAGCTTGGGTGATTATATTCTGGTGACCTACTGGTTTTTATTATTTGTGTAGCGCCATAAGTCTACATGGCACTGTACAGTAACTTAGCTGGGTTAAATATGTAACACCGTCCCTCCCCTGGAGGACTTGCAACTTGAGGGCACCAGCTGGGACAATAGAGTGTGATACAATAAAAAGAGAACAAATGTAGAGTGGGGTGCAGCCTTTACAGATTGTGTTATGGAATAGGTCAGTTTTCAGAGGCGTCTTTTTTGAGAGAGAGGGGGGAGTGCTGGAGTTTGAGGTGCATTTAAGTGGGAATTGGAAGCTATTCTAGACATAAGCCTTGGCAAGAAAGAAATTAAGAAGACTGGAGTGAGATGAAGGTTAAAAAGAGAAGTCAGAAAATAAGCTTAGTGAAACAAAGAATGGGAGAAGGTTTAAGAGGAGCTGAGGACCGTGCTGGAGATCAGGGTGGCCTTCTGGAGAACCTAAAAATGGAGAAAACTTGAATTTTATGTAAAGAAAATGGTGAGATTGAAGAAGTGGGTAAACTGGATGCAAACTGAGGGAAAGGAAAATGGTTCTGGTAGCAGAGCAAGGACTCTGATATGAGAAAGAAATAGAAGATTTGGAAAGAATACCAAGGTTGGATAACTGGAAAAATAGTGGTGGTGATGACAGTGAGGGGAAGGGAGAAGGCTAGGGATGAATTTTGATAAACGTCTCTCATTTGAAGCAATGCAATCCCATTGACTCCAACACCTGTAAGTGACATCAAAATTTGATCCATAGACGTTGGGGTGGTGGCAAGACCTGCGTTTTTTGGTGAGAATACAAGTTTGGTTGATAAAGGTAATAGTATTGATGTAACACACTTAGACAAGGTGTTTGACTTGGTACTGCATGACATT